GATGAGGTTGGTGTGCCTAGCGTACGAATGATTTTACGAGGCTAACAAAAACTGGTTTAAACAACAAGACATCAGCACATTCGAATTTGTGACGAAGTAAAATGCAACAGCTTTATCGTGAGCAGAGGGAGGATTACATTTGTTCCCAGAGGCGGCCTCCACAAAGCGACGTCCAAAAGCTGGACCGCATCCTGGCTTGATCCCAAGTGACCGCGCGTCATACACGCGTCAGAAAAACCAGACTTCTCACGCCCCGACATCGCCGCGCTCACCCTTCCCCGCTGAACTCTGCAAGATTCCCTCGTTATTCGCTAGGGACACGTTCCGCAGATGCTCGTGTATAGCAAATTTCGCGGATAATGGGTATTGTCCTGCAGATATCGTAGATATTTCTAAAGCTTAAGAGAAGTTCTATCTCTCATCTCTTGATCTCATCGCTTTCTCTCATAACATTGTCGCTCATCACTTTCTCTCGTAACATTGTCGCTCATCGCTTCCTCTCATAACACTGTCGCTCATCACTTCCTCTAACATTGTCGCTCATCACTTCCTCTAACATTGTCGCTCATCACTTCCTCTCATAACACTGTCGCTCATCGCTTTCTCTCGTAACATTGTCGTTCATCGCTTTCTCTCATAACATTGTCGCTCATCGCTTTCTCTCATAACATTGTCGCTCATCGCTTTCTCTCATAACATTGTCGCTCATCGCTTTCTCTCATAACATGGTCGCTCATCACTTTCTCTCATAACATGGTCGCTCATCGCTTTCTCTCATAACATTGTCGCTCATCGCTTTCTCTCATATTGTCGCTCATCGCTTTCTCTCGTAACATTGTCGCTCATCACTTTCTCTCATAACATTGTCGCTCATCGCTTTCTCTCGTAACATTGTCGCTCATCACTTTCTCTCATAACATTGTCGCTCATCGCTTTCTCTCGTAACATTGTCGCTCATCACTTTCTCTCATAACATTGTCGCTCATCACTTTCTCTCATAACATTGTCGCTCATCGCTTTCTCTCATAACATTGTCGCTCATCGCTTTCTCTCATAACATGGTCGCTCATCGCTTTCTCTCATAACATTGTCGCTCATCACTTTCTCTCATAACATGGTCGCTCATCGCTTTCTCTCGTAACATTGTCGCTCATCGCTTTCTCTCATAACATTGTCGCTCATCGCTTTCTCTCGTAACATTGTCGCTCATCGCTTTCTCTCGTAACATTGTCGCTCATCACTTTCTCTCATAACATTGCCGCTCATCACTTTCTCTCATAACATTGTCGCTCATCGCTTTCTCTCGTAACATTGTCGCTCATCACTTTCTCTCATAACATTGTCGCTCATCGCTTTCTCTCGTAACATTGTCGCTCATCACTTTCTCTCATAACATTGTCGCTCATCGCTTTCTCTCGTAACATTGTCGCTCATCACTTTCTCTCGTAACATTGTCGCTCATCGCTTTCTCTCATAACATTGTCGCTCATCGCTTTCTCTCGTAACATTGTCGCTCATCACTTTCTCTCGATGCAGAGTTCCAGATGCGATTCGCAGATTGCCAAAATCGCGGAGAGCAAGTTTTGTGAATAACGAGGGAAAGCTGTACCCCACTCTTCAGCGGCGCTTTGCTCGGTGGCCCACCTCGACCCCCCTTGGCAGGAAACCAGATCCACCTCTGCCGTTGCTATGGAATGATTTTCAACGCGTACTGCATGGTCCAGAACCCAATTCATCCCACAACACCAGTGACCTCCCCGATTTGTTTTATAAAAACATCCTCGGGACTTTGTTTTGCATTTGCTTGGAAATTCGCAAAGAGTGAAACCTGTCAAGCAGTCGGATCTTAAACCACACGGCAGTGCTGTGACCCCGCGCGGCACGCCGACACCCAGGCAATCAGGCTCCATCTCTGGTCGACAATTGCCCACCAATTGAAGGACACGAAGCCAAAGGCATCGCGGGGGTATCGCCATCCTGCTGTGTGTTGGCTCGCCTACCGTCTCTGAACAAGCCATTTCAAAGGCCACGCGTTAAATCGAAGGCCCCGCCAGTCCATTTGGTACTCGAGCCATTCTTACAGCAGAAGGCCATCGACCATGTCGCCATGTCTCGCAGAGGGGTTTAGTCTACAGTAGTTTGACGGAAAGGGCACGACATTGTCACGTGGCTTTACCCCGTGGCTTTAACCCGATTCGCTAATTTGTGGTGTCGTTTCCAAATTTGGACCGCAAACGCTGGCGCGCACACACATAGCCTCCTGCTATCTTTGAAATAACACCACGGGAGCTTTTTCAACATCGACCACTAAACAGACAGTGCAACGTATTTCTGGTTAATACACGTGCGCAGCATCAACCGGGCCCGGCCAACCGGCCGGCCGTCTTTAAAACCGCGAGCCTCTCCAGCAAGCGGTGAACGCGCTTGCCGCTCGGCCACGCCGCCTGCCACGCCGTTACGAGGATCAGGCGGCCGCGGACTTGGACGTGGGCAGAGAGTGCGAGCGACGCCGTCGGTTCCTCCCCACAGCCCTGCGAAGGCCTGGCGGCGTAGACCACTCCCACTGGCAGCGTAAAGGACATGCACGCTTCCCTTACCGCCGAGTCAACAAATTCACGGTAGGCCCACCACGCGCATTGACAGATTGCACTCGTTTGTACCTGATATCAACACTTGGCGCCCATTTTACGTAACGTGGTTGTAAAGTCACAGGCAGCATATTATACATTCATTCATATCACCGCATTTCTACACTTTGATTTTTTTTTACAATTATAAGCGATTGAGGTTTGTTTAGCCAGGTGACTGCCCACCCAGTGTGATTCTCTTACAAACGAGACCTGGGATTTCAGAATTGCACAGACAAAAATTAGAGTATTTGGTCATACTGCATTTTGGGAAATGGTATCCGAGGCACACAATGACGAGGTCATTAAACATCGACCTCGCAACGCAGGGCGAGCTTTAAAACTCTCACACGGACACCAGTGAGCAGCTGCAGTGGGAAATCGAACCACGACGTCGATACGCACCGGCTCGGCGGCAAGCGCCACGACGCACGTGGGACACGCGACCTCCCCAACGTGACGCGGCTCCTCGCAGCTGTCCCGCAATGTTCACCGCCGCCGCCACTCGTTCGGTGACGCCAAAAGACACCGCACGTCGAAAATCTCTCTGCGGAATTGCGCCGACGTCTTGACGCCAACCGTGCACACGGAGCCTGCGTGTACTGTGCCGGCACGCGTAACACGCACTCCAAAATCACCGTTGCGGTCGGATCTGGGCTGCGACGAACCTGATATGTACATTTGCGGAATGTGTTGTACTGTGCTATGTGTGTCAAAAATATACAATTCTCACGGACAATAGGCGCGTCATGAAAGGCACCACTTATACTTAAATGACCGTGTTCTGTGCGGACTAAGGCTGTTAAAATGTTTCACGATAAAAAAAAGGTGAACGGATCGCCGCACACAGAGAGATGTCGAAAGCAATAAACACAACGCGTTTAGCTTTCTGAGAAACAGAAGGAGAGGCCACAGCGGTGGTGTCAAGGTCACCTCCCCGGGTTTTCAATCCACAGGTCACCGGTTCGACTCCATCTCCCGGGCACGGCAGTTGAACCAATGGTGAAAGATTAAATCGGCGTGTCCGTAACTAAAAATCCCACTGGAATCGGTTACCGATTCCCGACCTTCTGAACCGATAACCGATCCTGATAACAGTTGCCGGTTCATGGACGGTCACGAGTTTAGCGATTGCCATTTAAGAACCTGAGCATGAATTCACCACGACAGCCACGTGATGGAGGTCAGAGACAAAGGCATGGAGCGATGGAAAAACCCAGCAGTGGTCACTGTGCCTGAAGCGGCAATGGTCCCTTTGCGAAGAGTAACTCCTATGCTTAATGGGCTCATCGTCGTCATCAGCCATGGTCGATCCACTGCCGGATTAAAGCCTTCCCAAGCCGCCGCCACCTCTCAATCCAGCAATGCATCGATCCACCCGGCAACTGCATACGAGCCGATTTCGTGGCTCCATCTCCAAAGCGGGTGACATTTCTCCTTCTATGCATTTCCACTGCTTGCACAGACATTGCACAACTCATTCCCGTCAATTCCAAGAGCACTCTCCCCCCAACCTGGATGCAGCAAACGCAAGGAGGGTGTGGGTGCTGTCCTGTGCCTGGGTAAGGTGCCGACCCAGCACTTCTCTCTCCCCCTCCTCTGGAGTCGAATCGTAAGTAACCAGAGATAAAGGCACCACCGCACTCATGAGTCGTGTTCCTCTCGCACGCCGTTCGGAAAAGGTCAGTGCGGTGACCCGTGACTGCACTGACGAAGCTTCGGAAGTGTTCTGTACGCAAATACTGGGACATAAGCAACCGGGGCGCATTTTCCGGGTCGTCGACCCAGAAAGTACAACCGCACCCAGCCCACCGCCACGTCCGGTGTACCTCTCCACGAGCTGTGGTCGACCAGTCCCGTGCCGCTCGCCGCAGCATACCGGCCACCCGCAAAGTATTCAGCGAGGGCCGAAGCCCACGGGAGTGTCTCGTGGACGCTCGCGGGGCTCCAGAGAGGTCGCGAGTCCCGAGGCGTTTCGCACGATTACCAAGGCGCCCGTGTGGATTCACGCGGCCTCGCAGCAGCCGGGATGAGGACCCACAGCTCTGGTGCCCCCCCACCCCCCTCCCCCATTCACAGTCGCATGGCCACCGGTCTCGCCTTGCTTGCGAACATCAGCACAGCGCAGCGTGCGGGGATTTCCTCTCCGCCAGCGTGCACAAGGGCACCTGCGTTCATCCCGGGTGGCCTCTATATTTTTTTTCTATTTATATTTTACCAGGTTTAAGGCCCACTGAGCTATGTAGCTCTTTTTCAGAAGCTACCTAGCCACAAATGACAGCTCAACACAGTGGCTTATCACGTGGACATTTAGAGCAGCTGAATGCTCTAAATGCGTGATGTTGATTCTAAATGCGGGGAGAGAGACACGCAAACTCCAAATATACAGCAGGCGTCATGCTTGGGATCGAGCCCACGACCTCCTGCATACCAGGTGAAGGAGTTAATATCTCGCCACCGTGGTGCCCCATACACAGGAACCCCCCCACAGACAGTGGCAGAACTGTCAGAAAGTGCAGCGTGCCAGTGAACCACGACACCGTACCGAACGTCTGACGCAGGCCTGGAGCGCAATTTATGATGTGCGCTCTACGCGACACGGCGCATAAAATATGTTCCCACGACGCTAGCGATACACAAAGACGTTTGACCCGATGAGTCCGTTCGAGGAGTCGCGATCAACTCGCGAGCCCCTGAGATCCAGCGAGGGCCGGTTACGGAACGTCCCGCGGCGACCTGCGCCACGAGCCGGGCGTCCTCGTGGCAGCACGGGGCCCGGCGGCCTCCACGAGCTCGCGCTTTGGGACGACGAGGAGGTCGAGGCTGAGGTCGAGGCTGAGGTCGAGGCTGAGGTCGAGGCTGAGGTCGCCCCGGTGGGTGTCATCCGCCGTAGTCGCCACGCCAGCGTCACTCCTCTTCCTTGGTGCGGCGGCTCAGGCGGTCGAGCAGAGCGCGGAAGATGTTCCCCGGGATCGTCTGGTGCTCGTTTATCAGCCTCTGCAGGGCTTGCCTGGTCTGCCAAAACAAATGGAACCACAAGTTACGCGCTGGCCAGAAGCGGTAACCACGGTCACAATGCAGGCGGGCGGGCGGGCACCTTCTCGGTGAGCTCCGGGGCGGTCGTGCCGGCCTCGTAGGGGATCGGATCTCCCAGGTAGGTGCGGAACTTCACGGGGAAGCCGCCGTAAATGGGCACCAAGGGCAGGCGGCATCGCTCGTACAGGCAGCGCAACGCTCCTGCAAAAGCAGAGACTCAACGAGCTTTTCCCAGATATATAAAGCAACGCTTATTATTACTATGCACTTATTACAGTTTAACTTTGTGTTGCACGGCCCTGTAAGCGTCCACCGAGCGTATACAACCACAAATACAGGTAGTCCCCGACTTACGATGGTCCCCGACTTACGATGGCGATATGACAAAATTGTAAAATATTTTTTATTTCGCGCGGCAGGCAAACGCAGCAGCGTACCACGAGGTACGATACTGTAACTTTATCATCGCCATCCTCCTCTTCCGACAACTAAGTTACTGTAGCCATCAACAACCTAACATCGTTCAAGTATGCAGACGATGGACAGAATCTTGGTGAGTACAGTAGAATATGATACGTTACGATACGTTCAATGCAAGTATGATGCGTAGCTTTAGCGATTTATTTTTAGGGTTACCACGATACGTACGTTCAATGCATGTTAAAAGTTTTTATAGCAGATAGGATTGTTTCCTGAAAAAACGTTCTATGAAATTGCGGTTCATATAGGTAGGCTAAGAATTTACCTTGTGTTTTACTTTAAATTTAACTGTGCAATACAGTATTGTAATTAATAAATACATACAGTATATAGTTTATACAGTACGGTACTGTAAATTGCTCTCAGTTTAACACGTAGGCTTTCGCGACCAATATTATTCATAATAACGGTTTTTGGGTTAGATCGCGTTTATTTATAAATGTGTCGTAACCCTCCACCACCCGACACGGCCAATCAGTAAAAAAGTGTCACGTTTACAAAAGACAAATAATTCACTACTTTAGCCCACCGGTGTGTTGAAGAGTGAATCCACATTTACAGTTTGAGTACGACGTTTCGCTGGTAAATACATCCAGCATCATCGGGCAATTCGCCAGAATGGTAAAGCCCTCGCTTGCTCCCGGTTTTATATAGAGCAGCAGGGTGACGTCATCACTTAACTCATATCAGGTGCAGTGATTAGAGGCGGAGGGGGGGGGGGTATTGCAATTATATAATCGATTAGTAATCAGTCAATGGTTATGATTAGTAATGAGTTGTAGATTAGTAATTCTTTAAATCAAAATGTAATGTGTATTATTTAATAATACGCTTCCAGGCCACACTAAGCCGGTAGCTGTCAGAGCGATTAAAGTTATTCTTGTTCCTCTCAATTTCAATGGATTCTCTAATTAGTCTTTGCCAGTAATAATTAGTTTTACACACCACTGCAACATTGTCAAAATCAATTGAGTGTCCTTGTTGACAAGCATGTTCTGCCACTGCCGACAGTTGTGTTTGAGATAATTTAATATTTCTCTGATGTTCTTTTAGTCTTACACTGATGTTACCTCCCGTCTGCCCAATGTAGCAGCTGCCACATGAACAATTAATCCGATATACACCTTCTGTTGATAGTTTAGGTAATGCGTCTTTAGTGCAAGATACTAGTTTTTGAATTTTGTGTACTGTACCAAATCTTACTGTAATGTTTTGCTTTTGCAAAACACGGGCTAATTTGTCAGTTACTCCTGAGATATATGGAATTTTTATTGTTTTAACAATCTGGTCGCTTTCAGCAGTATTGCTTTGCGATCGTGATTTGGCATTCAGTGCTCTGTTAATTTGAGCATTATTGTAGCCATTCTGTCGTAGTGCGTCTTTAACGTGTTTAATCTCTCTCACTAGACTCTCACCATCTGACACTGTTTTAGCCCGATGTATGAGCGTCTTGATAAGAGAGGATTTCTGAGCTGGATGATGATGTGATTCTGCATTCAGATAGGCATCAGTGTGCGTTTGCTTTCTGTAAACGCTGTGTGTTATTTTACCGTTTAGGCCATGTCCAAGCAAAATATCTAGGAATGGGAGTGTGTTATTCACCTCCATTTCCATGGTGAACTGGATGGCCGGGTTTTGTGCATTGAGATGATTTAGAAAATCATTAAGTGTATCTTTACCATGTGGCCAGACAACCAAAGTGTCATCCACATATCTAAACCAAAAGGATGGTTTTAATGTGCTCGAGGCAAGTGCTCTTATTTCAAAGTTTTCCATGTACAAATTTGCTATAGCAGGGGATAAAGGAGAACCCATTGCTGCTCCTTCCTTTTGTTTAAAGAAATCCCCTCTCCATAAGAAGTAAGTGTTATTTAAACAATGGCCAGCAAGTTTCGGAATATCTTTTGGTAAACCGGTATTCTTTACTAGTGTATCAAGTAATTTAAGCGATTCGTCCACTGGAACCTTAGTGAATAGAGAAATCACATCAAAACTTACCAGAATATCATCAGGAGTAAGTTTAATATCTTTAATCACATTCACAAGATGTTCTGAATGTTTTATGAATGAAGATGTCTTACCGATGTAGGGCTGTATTTGTTTGGTAATATATTTTGCTAATTGATATGTGGCAGAGCCAATTGTACTATGGGTCGTAATGGGATGCCGATTTATAAATAAACGCGATCTAACCCAAAAACCGTTATTATGAATAATATTGGTCGCGAAAGCCTACGTGTTAAACTGACTAACCTCTATGGGGAGGATACTTTTCTTAAAACCAGAAAATTGGAGAAGCTTCGCATTAAGCGGATGAAATTGATATCTTCACTGGCGTTCCTCAAAAGGTGCAGAGATTCAAAGGTAATACCAAACGCAGTTAAAATAACACATCACATAAAGTCTTCTAAAGCTAACCAAATACTACACAAAGCTAGCGAATTATTATTAATAGAGAGAATACAGCACAATAGGAGTGAATTATCTTACATTTCGGAATCGCTAAAGCAGTTACACTTAGATATAAGCAATAGTGTATCTATGCATTATTGGAATATAATCGATAACATAACACAACAATCGGCTGATAATGTGTTTAAACTAACAAAAACTAACCAAATTAATAAATTTTCTAGACTACATAATAAACAAATCCCTACTGAAAACCAAAAATTTAAAAACAAAACTGTACTGAACTTGACTAACACTGTATTAACCGGTGACTTCTATCCTTTCTAAAGGCCTTAACTTTGCAGTTACCCCACGCACAATTCCAGTGGATGAGATAATTGCTGAGGTAGAATCAGCAGTTAGACTCCTTCCACATAATGAGGCAGAGATGACTAGACATGAGGTTGCTAAAATAATTGAGAATAGCAAAGTTCCAAAAGTAAATATTAGCTCTAACGAGGCAAAAGCCTTAAGAGAGCTGCGTGTAAATAAGGATATCCAAATCCTAGCAGCTGATAAAGGCCGCACTACTGTAGTGATGTCACGAGCCGATTATGATAATAAAATTAGAAATTTACTAGAGGAAAGTACCTACATTAAAATTAAACGAGATCCAACTAATACTTTAGAACGTAAGACCACTGCAATAATTGCAAATTCATTAATCCCTAAAAATGAGCAATACCTAATTAAGCCAAGGGCCTCAAAACCACCTAGACTCTATGGGCTACCAAAGATTCATAAAATCAGCATCCCATTACGACCCATAGTCAGTACAATTGGCTCTGCCACATATCAATTAGCAAAATATATAACCAAACAAATACAGCCCTACATCGGTAAGACATCTTCATTCATAAAACATTCAGAACATGATATTCTGGTAAGTTTTGATGTGATTTCTCTATTCACTAAGGTTCCAGTGGACGAATCGCTTAAATTACTTGATACACTAGTAAAGAATACCGGTTTACCAAAAGATATTCCGAAACTTGCTGGCCATTGTTTAAATAACACTTACTTCTTATGGAGAGGGGATTTCTTTAAACAAAAGGAAGGAGCAGCAATGGGTTCTCCTTTATCCCCTGCTATAGCAAATTTGTACATGGAAAACTTTGAAATAAGAGCACTTGCCTCGAGCACATTAAAACCATCCTTTTGGTTTAGATATGTGGATGACACTTTGGTTGTCTGGCCACATGGTAAAGATACACTTAATGATTTTCTAAATCATCTCAATGCACAAAACCCGGCCATCCAGTTCACCATGGAAATGGAGGTGAATAACACACTCCCATTCCTAGATATTTTGCTTGGACATGGCCTAAACGGTAAAATAACACACAGCGTTTACAGAAAGCAAACGCACACTGATGCCTATCTGAATGCAGAATCACATCATCATCCAGCTCAGAAATCCTCTCTTATCAAGACGCTCATACATCGGGCTAAAACAGTGTCAGATGGTGAGAGTCTAGTGAGAGAGATTAAACACGTTAAAGACGCACTACGACAGAATGGCTACGATAATGCTCAAATTAACAGAGCACTGAATGCCAAATCACGATCGCAAAGCAATACTGCTGAAAGCGACCAGATTGTTAAAACAATAAAAATTCCATATATCTCAGGAGTAACTGACAAATTAGCCCGTGTTTTGCAAAAGCAAAACATTACAGTAAGATTTGGTACAGTACACAAAATTCAAAAACTAGTATCTTGCACTAAAGACGCATTACCTAAACTATCAACAGAAGGTGTATATCGGATTAATTGTTCATGTGGCAGCTGCTACATTGGGCAGACGGGACGTAACATCAGTGTAAGACTAAAAGAACATCAGAGAAATATTAAATTATCTCAAACACAACTGTCGGCAGTGGCAGAACATGCTTGTCAACAAGGACACTCAATTGATTTTGACAATGTTGCAGTGGTGTGTAAAACTAATTATTACTGGCAAAAACTAATTAGAGAATCCATTGAAATTGAGAGGAACAAGAATAACTTTAATCGCTCTGACAGCTACCGGCTTAGTGCGGCCTGGAAGCGTATTATTAAATAATACACATTACATTTTGATTTAAAGAATTACTAATCTACAACTCATTACTAATCATAACCATTGACGGATTACTAATCGATTATATAATTACAATACCCCCCCCCCCTCCGCCTCTAATCACTGCACCTGATATGAGTTAAGTGATGACGCCACCCTGCTGCTCTATATAAAACCGGGAGCAAGCGAGGGCTTTACCATTCTAGCGAATTGCCTGATGATGCTGGATGTATTTACCAGCGAAACGTCGTACTCAAACTGTAAATGTGGATTCACTCTTCAACACACCGGTGGGCTAAAGTAGTGAATTATTTGTCTTTTGTAAACGTGACACTTTTTTACTGATTGGCCGTGTCGGATGGTGGAGGGTTACGACACATTTATAAATAAACACGATCTAACCCAAAAACCGTTATTATGTATATGTGTAAATTGCTCTTTTCTGCTAAATTATCACCATTCTTTAAGACTCCTGGGTAGGCTAAGGCCATCTTCGACTTACGATATTTTCGACTTACGATGGGGTTGTCGTAACGCATCTCCATCGTAAGTCGGGGACTACCTGTATCTCATTTACAAAGTTTGCCAGGACCCGTTAACAAATAGCGGCTGATGCCGCGTAGGTTGAGCTTCGAAGCGTCCACGCGAGGTCTGTCGTACGCAACGGTGCTCGGCAAACCGAGCCAGCCTTGACAGGCGCTCCTGAACACCGCTGCTACCAAGGGTCCAAGGGCGTGAACAGAGGGACCTTTGTTCTGCTCGCCTAAGCAGGGGGACCGTGCAGGGGGACCGTGCGAATCCGATTGTCTGCGCGTAACGTTTACGCATTGAAGCGGCATCCTGCGGCAGCGCGGGGGCTATACTACGCAGAAATGTTTCCAGAAACGTCGTATTCAAATTGTAAATATTGTGTATTTTACTCTCCAACACACCGGTGGGCTGAAGTCATAACTGATTGGTGCGTTTTGTTTACATGACAAACCTTCCTGGCTCTGTCGGGTGGTGGAGGATTATGACACATTTATACTCACGCGATCTAACCCAAAAGCCTTTATTATGAATACAATTATATTCTATTCATGCGTGTGATGGCAGTAATATGTTCAAAAGCTCAATCCCAATGTCGAGGTCTGCTGGCCAGAGGGCTTTAGGAGAGAGAGTTAATGTCCTTTCGCTTTTCCAACTTCTGCTGAACTGACTGAAGGAACACAGGCTACGGTGGGTTTAGTGTGCATGGCCACAATGGCACTGCTGTGGCTTGTTCTGGAATTTTCCACTTATAAAGGAGGCACGGTGCAGCATCGGCGTGGTGAGGTTCTGATGCAGATGATGGCTCCACCGCAAGTGTCTTCGACGGGGGAATGTAAAAGCTAGGAGGTACGATATTTTGGGGTCTCGAGTGAGCAGGTGTTTATTTTGGACGTCTGCGTTGTTCCACTCCGCTCGCCAGCAGCGTTCTTCCGAATGTGGCTGAGATTCTATAATGGTGGCAGCAGCGGCAACATCAGCAGCGGTGCGATCCCATGAAAGGGCTGATTGGGACTCGAGTCGGTAGCGGCGGCGGCGAGGCAAATGGTGGAGACTACCCAGGGCTACTTGGTGAGCGGTGGAGACTACTCAGGGCCACTTGGTGAGGTAAGCGGTGGAGACTACCCAGGGCTACGTGGTGAGGCAAGTGGTGGAGACTACCCAGGGCCACTTGGTGAGGCAAGCGGTGGAGACTACCCAGGGCTACTTGGTGAGGCAAGCGGTGGAGACTACCCAGGGCTACTTGGTGAGGCAAGCGGTGGAGAATACCCAGGGCTACTTGGTGAGGCAAGCGGTGGAGACGCCCAAGGGCTACTTGGTGAGGCAAGCGGTAGAGACTACTCAGGGCCACTTGGTGAGGTAAGTGGTGGAGACTACTCAGGGCCACTTGGTGAGGTGAGCGGTGGAGACTACCCAGGGCTACCTGGTGAGGCGAGCGGTGGAGACTACTCAGGGCTACTTGGTGAGGTGAGCGGTGGAAACTACCCAGGGCTACGTGGTGAGGCAAGCGGTGGAGACTACTCAGGGCTACTTGGTGAGGTGAACGGTGGAGACTACCCAGGGCTACTTGGTGAGGCAAGCGGTGGAGACTACCCAGGGCTACTTGGTGAGGCAAGCGGTGGAGACTACCCAGGGCTACTTGGTGAGCGGTGGAGACTACCCAGGGCTACTTGGTGAGGCAAGCGGTGGAGACTACTCAGGGCTACTTGGTGAGCGGTGGAGACTACCCAGGGCTACTTGGTGAGGTGAGCGGTGGAGACTACCCAGGGCTACTTGGTGAGGCAAGCGGTGGAGACTACCCAGGGCTACTTGGTGAGCGGTGGAGACTACCCAGGGCTACGTGGTGAGGCAAGCGGTGGAGACTACTCAGGGCTACTTGGTGAGGCGAGCGGTGGAGACTACTCAGGGCTACTTGGTGAGCGGTGGAGACTACCCAGGGCTACTTGGTGAGGCAAGCGGTGGAGACTACCCAGGGCTACTTGGTGAGGTGAGCGGTGGAGACTACCCAGGGCTACTTGGTGAGGCAAGCAGTGGAGACTACTCAGGGCTACGTGGTGAGCGGTGGAGACTACTCAGGGCTACGTGGTGAGCGGTGGAGACGCCCAAGGGCTACTTGGCGTTTGGCAGGGGCACTCACTTATTCCTCCGAGCGTGCGGAAGCCCTCCCGAATGTTCTGGGTAAACATGGGGATGATCGGCTACGCACGGAGAAAAACACAGACCACGCAAAGTTACGAACGAGCTAAATAAAACGCATAGACGAAGACACACACACACACGCGGCGCACTGACGCAAGCTGACAGAGGAGACGCTGCCACAACGCATTATCTGCTTCTAGAACGGACCCATTCACCATCGTGCAGTAGATGCAGCGTTATGCAGTAGCGTGCCCAATTCAATATCAACTCACACGAGATGATGATCATGATGATGGCTGTGACGATGGTGTCCTTGAGAATGATTACAGCCATCATAATGACACTCATGATGATGACACTCATTAGTGATGATGATATGATGCTTCTTTTGATGATGTTGATAATGCATATTACATGTCTGTCATTGAAGATTGTAATGATACCAACATCACCATGATGCTGTTGTTCCTGATGATGATACTGTGCTCCTAAACATTCTGGCTATAAAAATTAAGCTGCTGTTGCTGCTGCTGCTGATGATGTCGATGATGACGTTTGTACTGATATTGACAATAATCACGATCGCGATGTTCGTGTGATGGAGACGACAATGACAGCACTCAAGACGACGTTGATGACAGCAGCGTTCAAGACGTCGACGAGGCCGATGTCAAGGGTTCGCACGAACAACGCCGCCGCCGCTCGCGACGAGGAAGAAGGCGCCGTCGCCGACGAGCCGGCCGCTCACCACTCGGGCGTCGATGGCGACCTGGGCGAAGCCGGTGCGGCCGCCCCACTCGATGCGGTAGGCATTGTCGCCGAAGAGCGCCTCGCGCACGCCGCCCGGCGAGATGGCGAGGAGGTGGCCGGCGCGCAGCGCACGCACGCACTCCTCCCTGGGGCCGTGCGTCACGAAGAAGACCTCGAGCAGCAGCCGGAAGCCTGCACGCAACAAACGTCGCTCGATGCACGGTTCAACAGCCCGACCGGCCGTGCTTGCACGGTCGCGCGGAGGCTGGTGAGCGAATCGATAAGCGAGCCGGTGAGAGAGCAGGTGAGAGAGCAGGTGAGAGAGCAGGTGAGAGTGCAGGTGAGAGAGCAGGTGAGAGTGCAGGTGAGAGAGCAGGTGAGAGAGCAGGTGAGAGTGCCAGTGAGAGAGCAGGTGAGAGAGCAGGTGAGAGTGCCAGTGAGAGAGCAGGTGAGAGAGCAGGTGAGCGAATCGATGAGCGAGCCGGTGAGAGAGCAGGTGAGAGAGCAGGTGAGAGAGCAGGTGAGAGACCAGGTGAGAGAGCAGGTGAGAGGCAGGTGAGAGCTCTAGGCAAGGGTGGCTGTGCCGTGGGTCTGGGGTGGCCTTGGCCTGGGTCTGGGTCTGGGGTGGCCCGCTGAGCCGCTCACCGGGGATCTTGAAGAGGAAGTGATCGGCGACCGAGTGGCAGGTCCGGCCTTTCTGCAGGATGAGCCTGGACACCAGGTAGTAGTAGTCGATGGGGATGGCGCCGTGGTAGTAGATGATCAGGGCCGGGCCCTCGTCTGGGATCTTGTCCATCCCGTGCACCTCGTAGCCTGTAAAGTCCACACACACACAACGAGACAGAGATCCCCGTGTAGTCTTAACAGACTGGTGGAGTAAGTGCTGTTAGAGAGCGCCTATGAAGATTGGCACGGCACACGAGGGGGTTGGTGGCCAGGACCACGCCCGGCCGCCTTTGTCTCCCCAGTGGCGATGTTTACACACCATACCAGGTACTCAATTGAAGCTGAGTTGACCTAGGGGAGCCCCCATGACTGGTTCAGATAATTGTCACTGGTGTTGGCCGCGAGCGGAAATCGAACTTGGATCGCCAGGTTCAGAGCGCAAAATCACCACCACCCTCACAACCACCACAACCACCTCAACCACTTCTACCACCCTCGGCACCGCCGCTACATTACCACCATCAGCACCGCCACCACCACAGCTGCCGCATGTGGAGGCACCCTGGTGGCAAGATGTTAACTGCCTCGCCTGGTATAAAGGAGGTCATGGGTTCATTCTCGACCCTGACGCTTGCTGTAATATTTGGAGTTTGCGTGTCTCTCCCTCCCCGTGGTCGTGTGGATTTTTCTCCGGTTCCTCCGGTTTTTCCTTTCGCATTTGGAATCAACATCACGCATTTAAGAATATTTGGCCACGATAACTTTCCACGCGATCAGCCACTTCATTGAGCCATCATTCGTGGCGACCAGATTGCTTCTGAAAACGAGCTACGTCGTAGCCCAGTGGGGCCTTGCCTGTGAAAATAAAAAATAGTTCTCATTTAACAGTTTGGGTGCCGCAGGGGCGGCTCACCGTGCCAGATGGTGGCGTGGCCGTCCCAGAGCGCGGCGAGCGTCTTGCGCGCCCCGTCCCAGAAGCTGTGTGAGTAGGCCGTGCGCAGCACGCTCTTGCTGCCGTAGACGTGCAGGAAGAGGATGGAGAGGTAGAGGAAGAGGAGGATGAAGAGCGGCAGGATGAAGACGACGAGCAGCGGCGTGAAGACCCAGAGCAGGTGGGCCGCGTACTCCAGGCAGACGTCGAGGCCCTCCAGGCCCGTCCACGCTGTCCACGTCTCCAGCAGCCAGCCCAGCACCTCGGGGCGCTCCAGCCCGGAGGCCGGGCAGCTCTCCGAGGAGTTGAGCATCGCGCCCTGGGGGGAGGGTGGCAGCACACGCACGGCGTCCTCCTCAGGGTTTCACGGTCGCTCGGAGGCGATAGCGAATTACGAGTGACGACTTCGTGGTGACTGGTGGCTCAGCGGCAGAGCGAGTGGCTCATGAGTTCATAGCTTGGTTGGGGTTGGCTCGGCTCTAGGCTCCAGGGTGGATAAAATTGGTACCACTTTGTGGGGAAGTCAATCGTGGCTGTCCCGCACCTCCAATTAGCACGGTTTGCTACGTACGGTGCAAATTAAGTTCAAAATACTTACTTTGGATACATTTCCACCACTGGCTCAGGACTGTAAACAGAAGACCACGGCCTAAATGTTCATTTTAGCAGAAGATCGCTCTGATGACTTTACAACTTCATTATTTGCAAGATGCCAGACATCGTCCATAACCGGAGAAGCTCTTTCTCGTCGTGTTCGTCCGACTCGGAGGGCAACGCACTCTACGAACTGGCGTGCCCAGTGTCACGGGTATGGTTGTGTTCTCACGCAAGATTGTAGGTTACGTTGAATGAGTGAGCATTTTTCACCTAACCGTATCCACTTCTCACCTTTGCTCACAGCGGTTGCCTTATGTATAGACTTGGCCTGTCCATATGGACGTGGAATTCCCACCACGGGCTCATGGCCCATCAACAAAGCAAGTACTGCTCCACACTCATTTGGGCAGATGGATTCTAATTTTGACGCGATAGAGGTACTTTATAAAGAAGGGAGCATTTATATCACGATTTACGGCATTAGGATAAGAGGTGTACAGCATGAATCACGTGCCTTACTAACACACTAATATACAGCATGAATCACGTGCCTTACTAACACACTAATATACAGCATGAATCACGTGCCTTACTAACACACTAATATACAGCATGAAACACGTGCCTTACTAACACACTAATATACAGCATGAAACACGTGCCTTACTAACACACTAATATACAGCATGAAACACGTACCTTACTAACACACTAATATACAGCATGAAACACGTACCTTACTAACACAGCACACTAATATACAGCATGACACACGTACCTTACTAACACAGCACACTAATATACTGCATGAAACACGTGCCTTACTAACACACTAATATACAGCATGAAACACGTGCCTTACTAACACACTAATATACAGCATGAAACACGTGCCTTACTAACACACTAATATACAGCATGAAACACGTGCCTTACTAACACACTAATATACTGCATGAAACACGTGCCTTACTAACACACTAATATACAGCATGAAACACGTGCCTTACTAACACACTAATATACAGCATGACACACGTGCCTTACTAACACACTAATATACAGCATGAAACACGTACCTTACTAACACAGCACACTAATATACAGCATGACACACGTACCTTACTAACACAGCACACTAATATACAGCATGACACACGTACCAAAGGTGGGAAACCGCCTTACAAGCCACGCCCAGCGTGACGCAGCCCGTGATGCCCATGACGTCGTCAAGCCCCGTGCCATCACCTCCCGTCCAGCGGCACACGCAGGAGCAGAGGTGAAACTTTGCCCCCCCCCCCACAACGATCCGATGAGTTGCACACCTGTCAACTCCTTATCAGTGCCCTACCTCATTACAGACCAATTCAGACCTTATTGGTCAGCCCGTGCCCCTTACAAATCTCAACGTTCATCTTACAAAGTCCCATCACAAGGGAGAAACACAAACAAATACAGTAAAACCTTGGATTGCGAGCATAATTCGTTCCAGAAACGTGTTTGTAATCCAAAGCGCTCGTATATCAGTTGTGATCACGTGACGCTAGGCAGACAAAGCGTATACGTACACTACTCGTATTGCAACACCTCGCTCGTTTATCAAATTAATATTTATTTAAAATTGTTGCTCGTCTTGCAAAACACTCGCAGACCAAGTTACTCGCAATCCAAGGTTTTACTGTAGACATGTTTTGTTATTGCCCGTATTGAAACGGTTCTACGCCGTATGGATCTGAAAACTAAATGTTTCTGTACAAGAATACTGGGTAAACCGTATGGGTTCTGGTAATTGTGGGAGTGGTGGTGGAGATTGGGATGTTTAAAACGTAATTGGACAATGCAACAGGTACGTAGTAGTAACGCAGGTGAAGGATGTGTTTCTTGTTCAGCTAAGAACAGAACACACACGGGTGTTAAAGAGCGTCTCGGAGGGGTGAGGTGTCGGTGACGTCTCACTTTGCCCTTCAGTCTTTCTCGAAGCGTCGTTAGGGGCCGTCCATAAATGACGTCACGCGATTTTGGTCGTTTTTTTACCCCCCCCATCCCCCCCATCGTCACACGGCGTCACAAAAAGTCAGACCCCCCTGAAATATGACGTCACAAAGCTCTGCCCCCCCCCCCCCAAAACCATATTTACATGTTGAAAATAAAACATGCTTCAAATCACTTTAAACTATTGTCATTTTAGCGCGTATTTAATGTGGTGCTGCACTCTGATGTTCTAGGAGAAAACATTTATTAAAAAGGCGTTGGGAAGCTTTCTTTTGAGCCCCGTCTCAAATGGTGTTAGACGACGCCAAAAGGTCCCATGACATAAAAAAATACTTGAAACTTTGTAGAAGAACGAAGCAAAATGGAGAGTACAATTATAACAATCATATATCAATTCCACAGAATAAAAAAGCCCTGTTGGATTTATTGGAATAAAAATGTTTAATAACAATAATTCAAAAAATTTACAAAATGTATGCATATCCATTCTACCATGGAGAAGCAAAATACTCCTTCATGGAATAAATAGGGAGAGCATAGATCTCTTCATCCTGTGGAATGGATGTTCCATTCAGATCAAACTCCTCTTCGTAGATCCAATCTGCACCCTCTCCACTTTCTTTGTTCACGATTACAACCGTTAGTTCACGTTGCCGACATGCAGTGACTCTCTGTGGCCTGATGCGTTTGGGCGGAATTATAATTGATTCCTGCTTGCGTGATACAGAGTGGATGCGCAGCATGACTCACGACGTGAAGTATGCGAGACATTTCTTGAAAATTCTAGCGCTAAACACTGATTGTATTGACGGACAGTACAAGTCAAATGGAATCGACCGATAAGGATTTGAAGAGCAAGGAAGAATGTCATCCAATTTCAAACTTTGTGCTGTAAACAGAGATGGGGAACACGGCAGAACCAATACCTCTGCCGTGGCTGACCATTGTTATTACGCTGTGGGCTCGCATGATATTGTTTTTTTCCGAGACCAAGGTACTCTGCACACCTTCGGGCAACTACCAAAGGTTTGTTCATGAAGCCATCCAGATATATAAACATAGACATAACTTCAACCGAGAAGATGGATACAAATTGAAAAATCACTGGATGTTATTAACCAGGTAAAGCCTTAACTGGTTGTGGTTGTTTCCATCATACCCGCCGGGTACTAGTCGATTTTTCCGAGTTACTTTCCCCCCCGCGTCCCACACTCAGCTTCCCACTTCTAGCCCCGCCCACTCCCCCCCCCAGCCTCACTGCTTCTCCCCTAGCACTCACGCAGCTCCCCTTCCCCTGCTCCACACCCCCCCTCTCTCTCTCCCCCCTTGCTCCTCCCCCCTTTCTTACCTATAAAACCTCTTGTCACGGCAGCACTCTCGCCTACTTCAGCATCGTTTCTTGCTGTGGTTGTTCCACCTGATGAGGATTGCTTGTGTTGTGATCGAAACGTTGTGATTTGTTTTTTTTATTTCTACCTACGTGACTTTACGGAAAGAACCAAAGAGTAGAGATGGGAATTTGAGAGCTGCTCCGTCTGTTGTCCGTTCTGGAATTTTAATACAGGGCCTTTTTTTAATTTAAACGGCTTCCGATGGGGCTCCACTCTGCGCTGGCTACGTTCCAATGATTGATGGAGTTTGTCCTAGCTGTACTGCAGTGGGACTCATGCTTGATATACCTCAACGATGTTATCGTCTTCAGCCGTACGTTCGAAGAACATCTTGATCGGTTACATGCTGTCCTTCTCAAAATGCGTGCGGCAAATCTCAAATTTAAGCCCCAAAAATGTCACATCCTGCAAAAATCCGCGCGGTATCTCGGTCACATTGTCAGTAAATTGCAACGGACCCCGAGAAAACAGCGTGTGTTCGGACGTGGCCGACCCCCATGTCGGTAGGGGAGTTGCGAAGTTTGATAGGATTCGTGTCTTATTTTCGCCGTTTTGTCGCCGGGTTTGCTACCATCGCGAAACTCCTCCACGCCTTGACGGCTAAGGGTCAGAAGTTTCATTGCGCACAATTTATTATTTTTTGCGCGTAAAATACTAAATCGTGCACACGATATACTGAATCATAAGGGAATTCTGGAATTAAATCAAAGATCCTAAATGGTTAAATTCAGTCACTCATGGTTCATAGTCGGACAATGGCGTAAAGAAGCATGACGCCATTTTCTGGGTACAAAGAACTAAAATTTAATGAAGGAATAATTAATCATGGGGGACGCGTTGGCTATTGTAAGCTTGCCGAATGACGTCTATTTAGGAGGTACTCCATGATTAATTATCCCTCCATGCTCAAAAATGGCTGTTTGATATCTTTGTCCCCAAAAACTTTTCCCTCTATATTATTATAAATGTTATCGTGCCATAATAATAGTATACAAATGTTACACTGATACTCTTTGGTTCTTTTGGTAAAGTCACGTTCTACCCACGTGACTTTACCGAAAGAACCAAAGAGTATGGATTCCTGCAGTCACGAAAGCTTCAAATCAATGCAATACTGATATTTAAAATTAATATTTAATAAACAAATGTGTGTGATTAAAAATTCTGTCGATTGATATGACAGGAATAATAGTACTTACGCTTTAAAAATTAATATTCGAAACTATCAAGCGTTTTTAATATAACGACTTCATTACAATTGTATTTGCACTTCCTCTTCCTGACGAAGTATTATCTCCATATATATCAAAGGCAAAGTTGTGATTGTGCGTCTGTTCAAAATGTTTAGCATACTTCCCGACATGCGACAAACTTGAAATATGCCATGTGGGTACTTTCCAGACTGTACACCATGCAAAAATTATAAAAATACACTTTTTTTGTGGGGGGGGGGGGGGAGCTCAATAATGAATTTATTTTTTGTACGGCAAGTGAGCTGTGACGTCAAATCTGTCATGTGACCTACGCATGTGGAAGCGTAACGCATTGTAGTGTAGTGGTTAGCGCGCCGCGCTACGAACCCGGCGACCCGAGTTCGATTCCCGCTCACGGCCACCACGATTATTTGAACCGGTCCTGGGCCTCCCCTAGGTCGACTCAGCCTCAAACGAGTAACTGGTGTGGTGTGTGAACATCGCCACTGGGGAGACAAAGGCGGCCGGGCGTCGTGAATCGGAGTCCCGGGCGAAGTCGGGTGGTAAAGCTAGTTCTCTATAAAAGTGTGACGTAGTTTGACTTCCGGTTCTTATGTTTAATATGATAATATAATCCGCAACTCACATCCTCTCTCCACCCACGGGCAGTCACGATTACAACTCTACTATATATATCTAGGCTATCCCAACACGCCTGGTCTGAGCAAGCAATTGAACGGCAGCACCATGACCTTTATACAGTGTATGTGTGTGATGGTCGTCCCGGCTGATGTATAGTCAGCTTCTCTACCCTCTTGTCAACCTGTAAGGGTGTTCACGTTGTAGAGGGAACGGTGGGACACGTGGCGAGGCTTTGAGATAAAATGTTGCTTTTCTGGAGCAGTGCGGCTTGCAAACTTGTTAATCCCACGGCGCTCACTTCGGAGTGTGATAAATCTTCACGTCTAACTCAACCAAAACACTCACTGTGGGCCTCACTGGGCACCACGGTGGCTAGATGTTAACTACCTCGCCTGGTATGCAGGAGGTCGTGGGTTCGATCCCGACCCTGACGCCTGCTGCTGTATATTTGGAGTTTGCGTGTCTCTCTCTCATCATCATTACGGTGGCTAGGAGATGTTAACTACCTCGCTCGGTCTACAGGAGGTCGTGGGTTCGAACCCGACCCTGACGCCTGCTGCTGTATATTTGGAGTTTGCGTGTCTCTCTCTCTCTCTGTGGTCGCGTGGATTTTTTCCCCGGGGTTTCCCCCATCCGCATTTAGCGTCAACATCACGGTTTAAAGTATTTTTGGGCTGCTGTAAATGTCCACACGATGGCGATAAGCCCACTTTGTGGAGCTATAATTTGTGGATGGCCAGGTCGCTTCTGAAAATGAGCTACGTAGCTCAGTTGTCATTTGTCTTGTCAAATAAAATAAAATAGTTGCCCATAGGACTCATTGCTGCTGCCATCACCCCAAGCGAGAACGGAACAGACGAAGCACCGGAGGTGGACCGAGATCGAACTGACGAAATCTCCACTCGGTCCGTTCTGCATGCAGAACGGAGTGTTCAATCGGTCCGTGTTGCCAGGTACGACGGTGCGGCTCACAGCCACGGGCAGGAGGGTAGTGGAGGAAGAGAGAGAGAGACGCGTGACACGGAGACAGGAAGCGGAAAATATTCCCCGTGTCGCCTTGACAAGTGCTGTGAGCGAGCAGCAGCGCCTATGGCACACGGCGGGGTGGGTGGCCAGCAACCACGCCCGGCCGCCTTTGTCTCCCCCCAGTGGCGACGTTTGCCGCACACCGCGCCAGGCACTCGCTTGAGGCTGAGTCGACCCAGGATCGGCTCGGATAGTCGTCACCGGTGGGTAGCCGACGTGAGCGGGAATCGAACTTCGGGTTGGTAGCGCAGCGTAGCGCTAACCGCTGCCCACCGCTGTCCACCGCCACTACCACCACCAACTACCACCACCACTACCACCAACTACCGCCACCACCACTACCACCACAAACTTACCACTACCACCACCACCAACTACCACCACCACTACCACCACCACCACTAACTACCACCACCACCAACTTACCACTACCACCACCACCACCAACTTGCCGCCACCACCACCACCAACTTGCCGCCACCACCACTACCACCAGCGTGGTCGTCGTCGCATTGACGTTGAGAGTCGCCACCATCACGACCACCACGAGTGGTGATGATGGGTCGACACAACAGCAGTGTACGGCGTCCCCGCCGTCTTTGTCTCTCTCGTCACGTGTCCTCGCCGTCTGTCTCTCTCGTCACGTGTCCCCGCAGTCTTTGTCTCTCTCGTCACGTGTCCCGGACGTCTTTGTCTCTCTCGTCACGTGTCCCAACAGTTTTTGTCTCTCTCACCTGGTGTCTCGGCCGTCTTTGTCTCTCTTGTCACGTGTCCCGGCCGTCTTTGTCTCTCTTGTCACGTGTCCTGGCCGTCTTTGTCTCCCTTCCCGCGGAGCCCAGCGTTAGCGGCCGGGCTCCGCCACTCAGCGCGACCAAGCCAAGGGGCCGCGGTAAAGTTTGGCGCGCGCCGTACACCGCCCCGCAGCGCTGCACGTAGGGACCGCGGCGATTTGTAATTTTCGTCGCGTCAAGACGCGTTTAGTTCATTTTGCTGTTGCAGATGCTCACATTTGATATCAGCCACTTGGATGAGCTATCGTGTGTGGCGAGTGGGTGGCGGATGAGGTGAGTGGATGACAGAGTGGATTAGGCAGGTGAGTGGGTGACTGAGTGGGTGATTGGGCAGGTGGGTGGATGACTGAGTGGATGATTTATCAGGTGGGTGGGTGACTTAGTGGGTGACGGATCAGGTGATTGGGCAGGTGAGTGGGTGATTGGGCAGGTGAGTGGGTGGCTGAGTGGGTGATTGGGCAGGTGAGTGGGTGGCTGAGTGGGTGATTGGGCAGGTGAGTGGGTGACTGAGTGGGTGATTAAGCAGGTGGGTGGGTGACGGATCAGGTGAGTGGGTGATTGAGTGGGTGATTGGGCAGGTGAGTGGGTGGCTGAGTGGATGATTGGGCAGGTGGGTGGGTGACTGAGTGGGTGATTGAGCAGGTGGGTGGGTGACTGAGTGACGGATCAGGTGAGTGGATGACTGAGTGGGTTATGGGAAGGTGAGTGTGTGACTGAGTGGGTTATTGGGCAGGTGGGTGGATGACTGAGTGGGTGATTGGGCAGGTGAGTGGGTGGCTGAGTCGGTGATTGGGCAGGTGGGTGGGTGACTGAGTGACATTTCAGGTGAGTGGATGACTGAGTGGGCTATTGGGAAGGTGAGTGGGTGACTGAGTGGGTTATTGGGCAGGTGGGTGGATGACTGAGTGGGTGATTGGGCAGGTGAGTGGGTGGCTGAGTGGGTGGTTGGGCAGGTGAGTGGGTGACTGAGTGGGTGATTGAGCAGGTGGGTGGGTGACGGATCAGGTGAGTGGGTGATTGAGTGGGTTATTGGGCAGGTGGGTGGGTGACTGAGTGGGTGATTGAGCAGGTGGGTGGGTGACTGAGTGACGAATCAGGTGAGTGGATGACTGAGTGGGTTATTGGGAAGGTGAGTGGGTGATTGGGCAGGTGGGTGGATGACTGAGTGGGTGATTTATCAGGTGAGTGGGTGACTGAGTGGGTGACGGATCAGGTGAGTGGGTGATTGAGTGGATGATTGATCAGGTGAGTGGGTGACTGGGTGGATGATTGGGCAGGTGGGTGGATGACTGAGTGGGTGATTTATCAGGTGAGTGGGTGACTGAGTAGGTGATTTATCAGGTGAGTGGATGACTGAGTGGGTGATTGAGCAGGTCAATGGGTGACTGGGTGGATGATTTATCAGGCGAGTGGGTGACTGAGTGAGTGACTGAGCAGATGAAATGGTGAGACTGTAAATTATCTCAACTTATGGATCTATTCTATTTTTGTACGACATGGAGTCGGCTTTAACCCCACGATCAAAATAACATTATTGTTTTGACAGCAAACAGTTTTTGGAGGCCGGAAGGCGTTAGATCCCCTCCATGTGATGAAGCTGCCGTGAAAACCCAATGTGCGAGTGAGTTCTTACAGAGCTGGAGATCAGCTGTCTTTAGTTTTAGATGTGAAGCTTTCGTGACTGCAAAGATTCATACTCTTTGTTTTTTTTGTAAAGTCACGTAGGTAAAATAAAATAAATGAAAACTAAAATAAATCACAACGTTTCGGAGGCAATACAAGCTTCCGTCTTCAGATGGAAGAGTCACAGCAAAATAGCTGCATCAAGTGAAGAGCTCTGAGACACCCGGGCTTATATACAGGTTAAGGCGGGGGAGGAGCCAGGAAGGGACGTGGGTGGGGAGGGGAGGGCTAAGTTAAGGCGGGAGAGGATCCAGGAAGGGACGTGGGTGGGGAGGGGAGGGCTAAGTTAAGGGGGGGGGAGGAGCCAGGAAGGGACGTGGGTGGGGAGGGGAGGGCTAAGTTAAGGGGGGGGAGGAGCCAGGAAGGGACGTGGGTGGGGAGGGCTAAGTTAAGGGAGGGGGAGGAGCCAGGAAGGGACGTAGGTGGGGAGGGCTAAGTTAAGGGGGGGGAGGAGCCAGGAAGGGACGTGGGTGGGGAGGGGAGGGCTAAGTTAAAGGGGGGGGGGGAGGAGCCAGGAAGGGACGTGGGTGGGGAGGGGAGGGGTAAATTAAGGGGGGGAGCCAGGAAGAGACGTGAGTGGGGAGGGGAGGGGCTAAGTTAAGGGGGGGAGGAGCCAGGAAGGGACGTGGGTGGGGAGGGGCTAAGTTAAGCCGCCTTGTGTTATGCTGCAGGGGGTTCGGGGTAGCGGTGGTGCACTGCACGAGAGCGAGTACATACAACCACTGGCAGAAATGGCAATAGCTGTCCAATTATAAGGCAGCTAAAGTTTGACTTGGTTGATGACATCTTTACAATGGTTGCTCAATTTAACAGGACCCTGCAGGGTGGGCTGGTAGGACAAGTCTCTGCGCTGTCTATTGCTGATTTTACACCCAACAGCACGAGATTTCACTTCGTTAATTGAAAGGGGACGGACGGACGGACACATTAATCTATTGCAGGCTGGTACACTCAGCTTACAACTTCGTTCCTACCAGTAAAACCATCCTCTCGGTTGAAGTTGTGTCTATGTTTGTATATCTGGATGGCTTCATGGACAAATCTTTGGTAATAACCGGGAGGTCTGCATAGTACTTTGGTATCGGAGAAAACAATGTCATGAGAACCCGCTGTGTTGAAACAATGATCAGCCACGGCCAAAGAATTCGTTCTGCCGTGTTTCAAATCTGATTTGTGCTCGCGAATTCGGGTCAGAAATGTCGTTTCGTCTGCCCGATATAGCAGTCACCACAGGCACAACTCAATTTGTAAACACTGACTTACAGTACCCCGGTGTTTACAAATTGAGTTATATATAGCCTTAAGTATTTGATTCATATTCTGAGACCACAAATCATAACCTTAGATTAATGTTGTTTATGGACTGTATACAGTTCGTTTTTATCACGCAAATATTGAATTGTTAATGCTGTATTAAACCCGATATAACACATTCTCAGACGGAACAGTTTGTAAGAACGTTGTTTTATGTAATGGACTCATAGGAAACCTTATAAATTGGCCATCATCCCAAGACTGTGGTCACTTGTGGCAGCTGGCGGTCAATAACACCGCTGATGGGAGAGACCATTCACGCTGGGTGGTGGGGAGGGTTTCCAACCCTGTCACACTTGGGACAAACCACAGCGTTCGAGGGGGTAGGCGGTTGTCAGTTCCTAATTTCACTTTCGACGTTGCACGGTAAGTTTGCGCTCCTGCACACAAGTCGTAGCTTTGTTCCCTTTTGACTACTCTCTCATATTTAATTCGTGTTTCTACTGCATTCGCGTTTGTCAAAAACGTACAGACGGTGAAACGAAGCATGGCTAGGGAGCAGTGCCGGATGAAGCTAGTGCGAGGCCTGTAGCATTTGTTATGAAGGGGCCCTAAATATAAAAAAACACGTAAATATTAAAACACAAATGTTTAACTTGCATAGTAAAGTAATTGTATTTTCTAATTTGCTGTACAGCCAGATAATACGACAAATCGCTAACCTTAAACACCCAGTCGTTCGTAAAGTATTCAAGCTTTCGTGACTGCATAAAATTACTCATTGTTTTTTTCGGTAAAGTCACGTATGTAAAAATACAATAAAATTATATTAAAACAAAAAACAATCACGACGTTTCGATCACAACGCAAGCGATCTTCTACATGTGTAGCTCTTGACACCTGATGAAGATCGCTTGCGTTGTGACTTTACCGAAAAAACCAATGAGTACCCGGTCGTTAATAAAAGTTGAAGGCGGTATAGTACTATAGTAATAGAGCAAGTGCAGAATCACAGAACCGGAATTGATAGCTTGAAAGCATTTAGTGCGGGGCCCTTGAAAGTGCGGGGCCCGTAGCTACTACACGTGTAGCTACTATACATGTAGCTATTGTGTAGCTATTACATGTGTAGCTACTACATGTGTGGTAGCTACACATGAAGTAGCTACACTAAATGTGTAGCTACTACATGTGTGGTAGCTACACTACCCTACATGTGTAGCTACTACTGTACATGTGTAGCTACTTGTGTTACTAGGATCATCCGACGCTGCAAGGATGCGCTGTGTCACTACTTTGCAAGTGCCGATATGCGGAAGGGCGTTGTCACCCGGCTCAAAACCCAGCAGACCAATATTATCCATCATAAATGTTTTTTTTCTTGAGTTGGATCGCGTAAAGATTAATGCGTCGTTAAACCCACAACACCACCCGACACGGCCAATTAGGGTTTGTTACGTAAACAAAACGTGCAAATTCGTTGTTACTGCAGCACACCGGTGTGTTGGAGAGTTAATAAGGGTGAAGGGATTCATACATTGGTTTTATCTTGGGTCAGGCCTGTCGTCCAATTCATTATTCGGCACCTTACTAATTTGCTTAGCGAAAGATGATCGATAGTATTCAGGATGGGTCCGGTAACAAACTCTTTAATCATTATAATTAATTTGCTTTACTACCCGGCTTCGCCCGGGACTTGGATTCACCACGCCCGGCCGCCTTTGTCCTCCCAGTGGCGATGTTCACACACCACACCATTAACTCGTTTGAGGCTGAGTCGATCTAGGGGAGGCCCAGGTGCGGTTCAAATAATCGTCACCGGCGGTGGCCGTGAACGGGAATCGAACTCGGGTCGCGGGTTCGTAGCGCGGCGCGCTAACCACTACACAACAATGCGTTACGCTTCCACACACATACACACAGACACACACAGACACATACACAGACACACACACAGACACATACACAGCGCGCTAACCACTACACAACAATGCGTTACGCTTCCACACACATACACACAGACACACACATACACACATACACACACACAGACACATACACAGCGCGCTAACCACTACACTACAATGCGTTACGCTTCCACACACATACACACACAGACACATACACACACACACAGACACATACACAGCGCGCTAACCACTATACTACAATGC